TCCGCGGAGGAGCTCTTGACCCCGTGCTGGCCAATCAGCTTCATCAGCGCGGTGACCTTCGATCCGACTCGACTCGACGAGTTCGATCGAAGAATCGAAGCGACCCGCGCGCTTGGTCCGACCGAGCGCGAATGAGGCAAGCCGGCTGGGACCAAATGCCGCGCAGAGGTTTGGGACGCACTGGGTCCAAACAGCGGAAGAGCTCCCAGTGCAGAAGATTTGAGTTGGACAGCCCCAATAAGCGACAACACGGGTTCGAACATACCAGGTTCGTCCTATGGCTGCCACTTGGTGTGGTACCCGTAGACGAAATGCTTATCGAACTTGAGAAAGTAGAGAAGACTTTGATGAATTGGCATACTCATCAGGAAGAAAGTCGCTCGTGTAGAAATGCACCAAAATGCTGAACTGGTAGACGACTGAGGAAGTTGATGCCAAATCATGGAAATGTCGACTTGTTGTAGAAATATGCTGGATTGTCCAGAAGTTCTATCTCCAAGAGCCGGGACACGGTACATATGATCAATTGGGGCCAAACCAATCCAACTAGCAGCATGCAGCACTGCTTTTAGGTGCAAATTGCCCCCAATCAAGTTTCCCACGTGTTGCAATGAGAATGGTTTGCCTGGTCAGAATTCCATGCAAGTACTCTGTTTTCTAAGGTGATCTGAAATAATAGATCTGGCAGCCTGCTTCTCTCCAAATACCAGCTTGTACCCTCATGCGCATCCTGCCAGCAATGTGTCTGTAACTGCAAAGTTGTACCCTACAGGCGTTACAATTACAAATGAGCAAGGTATTCAGGAAACCGTTTGGAACATCCCACAAGGTTCTTACAAGGCGTGCCCTCCGTGCGAATTCGCAGAATCTCCGAGGGACAAATCTCTTCGTGTAACCCAAAGGAAAAGAGAGATGAAACTTGAAATCATCTCTCCCATATCCCTTTCCCTCACCTCACCGGGTGAATGAAGGCGAGTTAGGGATGGGGGAAAGAGTCAGGTGATCAGAAGTGATTACTCCGTACGAAGAGATCTGTCCCTCACCAACTCGGATCCGCCACCTGCCGCTTTCTTTTTAATTAAACATGGCGGCTTGGGAGATCAGATAAAGATGATGTCCGCCCTCTCCAGACTTCTCATTGAGGGCGGGTGAAAGAGAGAATGAGAGAGAGTGAGGGAAGGAACGGTTGGGATGTGAGTGAATGACAAACATCTTTTGGCCACTCTCGTCCTATTTTGTCCGTTCATTCCTCAAGCCTTTCGGTTTCCCCACGTCACAGCGGCTTGGCTGCGTGCGAGATAGAGGCTTGGAGTAAGGAAAGTGGTCTCCCAGCTGCAGCGGAGAGACTATTGCAAAGACGAGACTTATTATATCCAAACCAGGCGTTAACAGTCCTTGGGTTTCTATCACCCATCATATGAGGATGTTTCCCAATCAAGAGATTTCTACCGGACAAATCCTCAATCATATGTGTCTATAGACTCTCCTGTTGAGTATCTTGGACGGATTCTCCAGAGGTAGATGAATCCAGTCAACTATAGAAGGATGCCCACCCTCTCTCTTCATCTTGGGAATTCCTCCACTGGCAGGAAAAACAATTGAGAAGGTAGAATGAAGAAAGAGGTAAGGGTGGACAGGGCTGTGTCTCTTCCCAACTCTTTCCCAATCATTCCCAGCTCCGGAGCTAGAGAAAACAGAGAGACTCGCAAACCCATTCTATTCGCGAGTCTCAATTGTAAGGCCTGATCACCACCTAACTCTTTCTCTTCAACCCACACGCCTAGAATTTGAGAATGCTTTTGGAGTAAACGAATGGCGTGTTGGAGGGAAAGGAATTAGGACATGAGATGTTGATACGACATAGAATGGAGAAAGGGTAATGTGTCCGTCGGAACTTGTCTGACCAGGAGTTTCCTCCAGTCATCATCTTGGACATGCAAAAGATGCCAAGCTTTTGGTTTGCCGGCAATGGATCCCGTCTGCTGAGATGTCAACTTCTTTTGCGTAGGGAACCCCCCCAATTTTTCCGGTCAAGCAAACCCAACCTACTTCCGAGCTTCACACCACAGCTTCTTGCGCCAGCGCTTGGGGGGCCCGCCCCTTTTTGTGGAAAGGGCCTGCTCATATCCGGAGTGCCCCCTCTCTTAGCTTCTGGCAGGACTCACCGCCTTCGGCTCCCAAAAACAACGGGCTGATCCTTGGCCGCCGCGCCAGGTACCCTCGCGTCGCCGGATCCTCGAACCTGGCGTCACGCGCCCGGCGCGCTTGCAACGGAAAACCCCCGCACGTGTCGGGGTGCCTGGGCTCGGCGATCTGGTTGCCTCTTGGATCGCTTTATGAAGCGAAAACAGCCGCCCTTTATGGACATCAGCTTTCGGCTTCCCAGCACCTGCTCCACAATCAGACGGCACCGGTTGGAGGTGCCTTATAGGATCCCAGTATTCACGCAGTTTCATCCATGACATGTGCGAAGTGGATTTTGACCCATCAGCAGACACTCCTAGAGCGCGCAAACTCAGACGTGGGGCGTGGGGCGTGAGAACTCTGAACGGAGAGTGGGGTAGCAACGCCCAACCAACTTTCCCCTTTACGGTTCCGAGTGGATGTCCAAAAGTTCCAACCTGAGCAATCCGAGTGGATGCCACGCAGCTCAAAGCACCATCGCCGCCCGGAGGCTTGGAGCCGACGTGAGCGATTTGGGGATAGCTGATTCCCAGCTTTTTCAGCCCTACGAATCAATCTGTGTCAGGTTCCATTTGGGGGGGGTGTTTTTGAGGGTACCCCTCGTTTTGTGGCTTTAAAGGGAAACCAAAAGGAGAACCACTGCGGCATGTTTACAAACAAACAGCCCCATTTTTGTTGGGAGCCGTTTCATCTTCGGGACTTCCCCAAGCCTTTCCGCTGGCGGCACGCCCACATTCCCAGCCCGAAAGCAAAGCCGAGAAACCTGTGTCGTGCACCATGGAGCTGGCAAACCATGGAACCAAACCGCAACCGAGACGGGGTTTATCGGCCAAACGTTTCAAACCTTGGAAATGGGACACCCCCTCACAGGGGTGTCCTTTTAGTCGACTGGGTAAATCCCTTTTCGAGGGTGCCTCCTGTTGTGATTAGAGAGGGAAACCAAAAGGAAAACCCACATATTATTATTTTCATTTGTGTTTGGTTTTTTTATTATTATTATTATGTTTTGGGGGGAATGCCTGCAAAAGATGAGCCGCCCAAGTTGGGTTCTCATCAGCCGCTTCCAAACCTCGCCGGGCGTGCGGTCGCTCGATGCACTCGAGCAGAAGGTCGGCGATGTCTTCGATGGTATATCCATCCACGTTGGCGAGGCGGGCGTACTCGCCCAGCACCCAGGCGATGACCTACAGCTAAACATGTGGCAGTGGCTCAAGATTCAAGAGCTAGGGTTGCACAGGTTTTGGTCCATGTGTGCACTTACCAGGGCTCCATTTTGGGACCGGATTTTTGAGCCATACCCATGTCTCAGGCGAGACACGCAACAAATTGGTGGGATTTGGGCCAGAAATCCCCTCCCTGGAGCTGGGTTAAAATTAAACGTCCACGGAAATCTGGGCGGCAGGGGGGTTGGTCCAAACGTGAAACCATTTGTAGACAAACCCAAAGGGGAAATGGTTTACCATTCAAGCAATTCCCTCAAATCCCTTCCATAGGTGTGCGCCCCAATTTCTGATTGGTTTAGAGGGAAACCAAAAGGCAAATCACGTTGGGTCCCCTCAAAAAGAGACGCCCATTGGGGGGTGGAATTCGCGCGGTCTCGGTCTGCCCTGAACGAAATCTGTGCTGCACAAAACCTAAGACGCATGCAACACACTGGTATGTACAGTGTTGTTTTCAATATCCAAGGGTTGGTATGGATTTAGTTTAATCATTTTCTAAGAAGTTAGCTATCCAGTGTCCGTATGCTGAACTATCAACGGCCCTTGGCCTGGAGTCTGACTGAGTGTTGACCTGGACAAGGGGCGTTGCAGCTCTCACCATTCCTCTGCCCCGAACGCTGCCCGTGCAAAAAAGAGGCGCTGAAGCTGAAAAACCCCAAAGCGGTTCCGAGTGGTGAACAAGGGCGTCGCTTGCTGAGTGCGAGAAAACTGGATTTGGGAAGCAGCTACGGGGTCTCCTGCACGAAATGACCTATACGTTCTATGCTCAAAAAGCCAGGTTGATGCCAACTAAAACCAGGCAAGGTATTCTCCCCCCCTGCAGAAACAAGAGAAATGGGGGGTGTCGACTGGGGGTGATGTGGAAGCCACCGCACCTGCACCAGGATGTCCGACAAGGAGGGCTTCTCCAGAAGCTGACGCGTCAGGAAGCTGGCTGCACCACCATGAAGTGGGGAACTGGGTATTCACAATGGAGCGGGTGTGTGTGTGTGTGCCTGTGCTATTTTAGTGGACCCCCCCAAAACAAAAATGACTTCCGGTTGGTTCCCTGAAAAAAGAAACAAAAAACGGGGTATCAACAAAAGAACACACCCAAGTCGAGACCTGTCTGGAGTTGGACTCTCCTTTCACCCTTCCAATAGAACCAAGTCACACTGCACATTGCTTCCCCCAAAAGGACAAGAGGAGTATTCCTCTTGGTTCTCAAACTTTTCAATGACCCTCAAACCGGCAGTGTTCACCCTCCCAAAAGAAAACAAAACGTGTCCCAACCAAATCAAGCACGCCCGGAAGACAGGCGCACGTCCGCCATCTGCTCATCACAATCCGAGTATCCCGTTACGTTCGGAAGGGATCGGAACCAACTCAGGGAAAAAAACATCAGCACTGACTGCCCATGGCAAACCGCAACTTCTGGGGAACCCTTTTTGGGATGGGCTTAGGGAACCACAAGGACGCCCGAAGGGACCTGGGGTCCGTGAATGTGAGACAAACCCTATCAGACCCTTCCGGCGGGTATTGAGAGAAAGCTGAAAGGGAGTACCCTTCCTCCCACAAACATAGCACCTGTGGGCCTGTGGGAGGGTACCTGGAAGATCAATTTTCTCTTCCGGGGACCCCTCTATCAGGGTATGTATTTTTGCACAGCATTTGGCGCCCGGCCTTGAGGTAAGTGTTGACCGCAAAAACGCGGAAGGCATTGTCCGCCGCATCATCCTCGCCCGTGCCTTCTGCAACCAAGCGCCTGAGCATGCCAGACTATCTCGGAAACATGGACGGCATCCATCTGGGATTTACGGCTTGCCATTGAGCGATACTCTCTAGGAAGCTTGGTTGCCACAACGCCTTCCAGCATTGTCACCTACATTCGAGTGCGGTGGAGGCAAACCGAAGTCCATATTGTTGGTCAGGGAAGGGGCCCCTGCAATACACTGCCATAGAGTCAAAGATTGGGTCCCGGACCCCTTTTCAATCTGGGGTCCCGGGCATCAGGTTGTAGGCGGTCTCCGCGGGCACGAGCTCTCCGCTCAGCTCAAAGACTGTGTTCATGGTGTTCACGTACCTAGGTGGAAGCCGAGGATCGGGGGGGAGGTGGAACGGACAGCAGCCGTTCCAAGGGCATACCGCCATGGAACTGTTTTCTAAAGGGAAACTGGTCGGGACTAAAGGCAACCCCCTTGGGATTCGCCAGCAACGTAGTCACCGGTACAGGCGAAAAACAAAACCGAAGGCTGGCAACGGCACTCCAACAGACCCTTGCTCAAGCCTCTGAGGATGGCCCGGATGGTAGCCCTTCTTTGTCTGAAAATATTGGATTCCTCATGCCCTCTCCAAACAAACGATCGATAATTTGTCAGTTCAGTTGGTTGTTGCACATATGGGCCACGGTCAACATTCCTTGTGTCCCGTGAATGTGCACTATGTCTTGAACATGAATGTGGAAAACAACCTCTTCTGTGATACCAAAGTGACTACTTGGTCACCTGAAAGGAGGCTTCCTTTGTATCGCAGAAAGTGGCTTTCCCAAAGACCCCATTTCCCAAGACCATGTCTTCACAGCAAAGCACAGAGCACATTTAACCATCTGGCGCTTCCACGGCATGATGACGCGGGGCAGTGGGCATGCAAACTGGTGGATCCTCTCCCTTGATCCTGCCTCACACAGGGTCTTTTGACCATGGCACACATATGTGCGTGTGTGTGTGTACGTGTGCTAACACCCTCCCCCAAATATGTGTTCCCGATTACACAGAGAGTCACGTGCCACATAAACCATGGGAGAGATGTGCGGAAAAAGATGACGGCCATGCGCTGTTTTCATGGCTTCCCTTGCAAGTTGGCTCCGGAGCGGGGCTTCCTGGTGACATTTGGCGCCGCAGCTCCAAAAGTGCTTGACACAACTCAAAATGCGAGTTGCCTCCATTTCCTGGAAAAATTAAATATATTTCCAGTAGTGATAGATTGCCTTTTCAAACCAACAGGGGAAAAGAAAAAAAAACTAGACCACGGTTGGCCCGAAAGCATAACATCGCAAGCGAGGTCGGCCCAACGCTGCAGGATGCGTTCTTTTTCCCTCCACGAAGCATTTGTGAAGCAAGCGCAAGACAGCACCAGGCAAGGTGCTCTGCGCAAACTGGTCGGTGCAAGTTGGTCTGTGCAAGTTGCTCTGCGCAAGTTGCTCCGCGCAAGTTGTTCCGGCAAGTTGGTCCCTGCGAGTGGCTCCCTGCAAGTTGCTCTGTGCAAATTGCGCTCCCTGCAAGTTGCTCTGTGCAAGCTGCTCTGTGCAAGTTGCTCTGTGCAAGTTGCTCTGCGTAAGTTGCTCTGCGCAAGTTGCTCTAGGCAAGGCGCTCTGCGCAAACTGGTCGGTGCAAGTTGGTCTGCGCAAGTTGCTCTGTGCAACTTGCTCTGCGCAAGTTGCTCTGCGCAAGTTGCTTTAAAATGCAAGTTGCATCTTGCGACGCCCGCCCGCGGACCAGGGAGGAATCGAACCCGCGACCCGCCGGTTCCGGGAGCAGGCGCGCGAACCACGAGACAACTCCCGAGGACCAGTTCGAACAACAAAAGTCGCAAAAAACCTCGAGTTTTTGCACCTCGACCACGCCGATCCCCGCAGAGGGTTGCGCGAGCACCGCAGAAATCGCAAAAAACCTCGAGTTTTTGCACCTCGACCACGCCGATCCCCGCAGAGGGTCGCGCGAGCAGCAGAAATCGCAAAAAACCTCGAGTTTTTGCACCTCGACCACGCCGATCCCCGCAGAGGGTCGCGCGAGCACCGCAGAAATCGCAAAAAACCTCGGTTTTTGCACCTCGACCACGCCGATCCCCGCAGAGGGTCGCGCGAGCACCGCAGAAATCGCAAAAAACCATGGGTTTTTGCACCTCGACCACGCCGATCCCCGCAGAGGGTCGATTTTCGTGTAGTGTCGTCGGCACTACCCCGCCGCCCTAAGAAGAGATTTTAACTCCTCGCAAGTCAATTGCACTTGGCTCCTTGCGCTTGCAACTTGCACTTGACTCCTTGCACTTGCAACTTGCACTTGACTCCATGCACTTGCAACTTGCACTTGACTGGCCTTGCACTTGCAACTTGCACTTGACTCCATGCGCTTGGCTCCTTGCAGCTCGCAATGACTCTCATGACTCCTTGCAATGACTCCTTGCAATGACTCCTTGCAATGACTCCTTGCAATGACTCCTTGCAATGACTCCTTGCAATGACTCCTTGCAATGACTCCTTGCAATGACTCCTTGCAATGACTCCTTGCAATGACTCCTTGCAATGACTCCTTGCAATGACTCCTTGCAATGACTCCTTGCAATGCTCCTTGCAATGACTCCTTGCAATGACTCCTTGCAATGACTCCTTGCAATGACTCCTTGCAATGACTCCTTGCAATGATTCCTTGCATTGACTTTCATGATGATGATTCCTTGCAATGACACCTTGTAATGACTCTCATGAGAACAACTCAAGTGAACCCAGCGGAAGAACCCTTCGCCATGCTTTCGGGAATATTTACCAAATGTCCGAGTTCCCAATCCGGGGCTCGCACCATTCGTTGTCTGGAGCAAATCGCTCCGCTAAGGAGGTGATCTTCTGAGCAAGATCTCTTCGAAGGTGCGAGTCCTAGGTTTTTTTCCAAAAGGCGGGCTTGGGGGTGGATTTGGCAGGGCTGGAAGAGTGTCACACATCCGGGAGGTTCCAGGGCCGAAAAGGCGAATCAGGACCCTTGCCCTAGTAAACGACTGATGGGATTCCTCTAGCGCCCGATTCAGATGCCAACATTGCTCCGCGTTTGAAGCCGGCTTTCTGGACGGCTCCGGAGAAATCGGGCTGAAAAAATGAGGGACCACGAGAGCTGCTGGGGAGACTCCTTGGGCTTGTCTCAGTAGCTCTGCCAGCGAAGCCGGAGGAGTCACTAATGTAATTCCCTGGAGGGCCCATCTGGTTGAATCAAAGAGAAACACTGGCCGCTCATGTGCTTTCACTTCTTCTTCTTCTTCTTCTTCTTCTTCTTCTTCTTCTTCGTCTTCTTCTTCGTCTTCTTCTGCTGCTTCTTCTCTTCCAGAGCAGCGGGGGGGGAAATAAATGGGGGGACCGCTACCAAGGTCTGTAGTCGTCTGGGCGAATAGAAAGAATTCATGCCGAAATGGCGACTCACTCTAGCTGATCCTTCATAACCCTGTCAGCTCCAAATACTTGCTTGCTTCAAGGTATCATGTCAACCCGTGACAAACAGAAGCAGAGTATTTAAACAGAGTATTTGCCATTGAACACCTGTTTGTTTTTGAGTATACCCATCATTTGAACCAACAAATAATATGTACGAGATGACCGAGGTTGGAATTGTGCCTGGGACAAGCTCTGATCCCGACATGTGCCATGGATTCCCTGCGTCGGAATGGCTTAAGTGCCGGGAGTTCATGTGGCAACCGTTTGGGACGCCAAGTCCGTTCCGTTCCCTGACCAGTGAAAAGCATCCCAAAAGCGTTCCACGGCGGACTCAAGCGGATGGCTCCCTTTTGGGAAGTTAACCACTGGGTTAAAGTCTCCTGGGTCGTGAAGTAAAACCCTGACGCCAAGGCCAAATTCGGCACGTTTCAGCCACTTGGGCCCCTGGCCACGCTGGTACGGAGGTGGAAGCTCAGCTTGTCCACCTGGCACGCACCCAAACGCGAAAGGGAAGTTTCACCACACATTTGGCCGCAAGCTGAGCCGGAGATCCAAACAGCAAACAGCAGCAAACCTTTGAAACAAAGCGATCAAAGCCCCCCACCAAAAAAAGAAAGATGAAGACGGTGCTCCAAAGAACCTGGGTCAAAGTTCGGCGTCACGGGAACCACCCCACGCGTGGTTTGACCGAAACCCGGCAAGCGCCGGCAAGCGCACCACCACCACCACGTTCTGCGGGTTCGTCATTCTGAAGAGCCTGGCAGCTTCGCGGGTTCGCTGTTTGGGCAGCCTGGTTCACAGCTTCCACCCGCCAAGGAAAGATTCGGTATGCCACTATGTACCCCCTATGAGGGACAATTCCCGTGGGTTTGGGCGTGCATGCCTGGCTTTATCTCCCAAAATGGGCTTCGGTGTCCCTGGAGCCCGGGTGTTGAACAAGCCCTCAGTTTGCGTATAAAATGCAAGGGACTCATGTGGCGGGTCCAGGAAACACGTGTCGCGTCCATTTTCGAGCACCCCATGACAAACCCACCCGAGTGACCCGTGAACCTTCGGAAGCAGGATCTGAAGATCCAAACGCGCCAGATGCGCAAGTCCAAGGTCTTCCTCTTGAGTGTCTCATCTGGATCCTGCTCCGCGCATGCGGCTCGGGCTGCGGCTCTGGGCTCTGCTTTGGGTTCCGCTTCCGGGGCTGGACAGGAGCTCAGGATGCGTTGCCAGAGGGTCTGTTCACCCACATTCCCGAGGTTTCCGGCACCGCCCATAGACTCATAGACTCATAGACTCATAGACCTGAAAGGGCCCACCGCGAAAGACGCGCCAAGCCCTGACGTAGCGAGCTGTTTTGAAGCCACAGGGTTCGTCCCCCTAACATCACACCGAGAAACTCAATCAAAGTTGGCCACAAAGGTGATGTTCAAGCCAAAAAAAAATGGAAAATTTCGTAACTTGACGGGGACGGGTGCCGTGTTTCGGGGACGCATCAGCTCCCTGCACCAAATACAGGGTATCTGTTGCCATCCAAACCCTCCTTTTGCAGTCAAAGGGTTGGCATCATACCTACAAACATCGGGTGAGGTATCCCAGGGAGCGATTTTGTCTCATTTCCTGTGGCAAATGCATTGCTTCAATTCCATCCGCAAGCTGAAACGTGGATAGTGGACGACGAATAAGTCCGCACTATATGCGACGGCAAACCCCAAAAGACCGAGGGAAAAACCACCAAAGAAAAGGGCCCGGCATATCCAGAGTGGGAAGAAAACACCCAAGGTTCATGGAAGCTGGGCGATGTTTTCATGTCCCAATCCTTATGCAGAGGAGGGGTTGACCACCCCTGTCGGGTCTTGTCCAGGGCTCATTGGAAGCCCAAAGAATCCGTCGCAAGGATCCCATCTCCCGCGTCCTCGAGGCAGTCCACTACCACCATCTGGTGCTCAGCAGCATAGGCCCTGGCAAACCAAAGCGCCCAGCCTCTTTGGGCGGCTAAATTGGAGAGGGTACCCCACCCACCCAGTTAAGGCGAGGGCTCAAGAGGAAACCAACCATTTTGGCCCAAGCGACATGTCTTGTCTTTTGTCCCAATGTGTCCTCCTTTTGGGAATTTGTGAGATGGACCCAAGAGTGCCAGAGCACACCTCACGTTCGCAAGAGGCCCCCCCCCCAACCGAAAACCGCGAGGGGCCCTGCTTGGCACTCAGTTCGGCCGGAGTTGGCCCGATTCAATCTGCCGGAGCCGCGGGCTCACTTGGACAATCTGGGCCAGGCCCGTCACCCCCAAGTACCGCAGGTTGTGGTTCTCGCTGGAGATGAACCTGCAATCCGCTCATCGGCAATTCGGTGCCAAGTTGTCACAATCGCTACCATCGCAACTCTCTCATGAAAATCCCTTGGAAATGGAGAAACATATTGTTGACCCCAGTCTTGCAGGGTTCCCCAAAAGTTGAAAAAGGTCGGAGCTGGAGGAGCAAGGCAAGCGCCGTCAAAGTGTCCAACCGCATCACCAGAAGACCTACTTCCATCACCATCGTCAAACGCATCATTGCCAGCTCTAGCACCGTCATACGCAAAATTGTGACCACCGTCATCAGAATCATTGTCGTCGTCATCCTCATCACCGGCAACACCAGCACCAGCACCAGTACCAGCACCAGCATCACATCATCATCATCATCATCATCGTCGTCGTCCTCATCGTCATCGTCATCGTCATCGTCATGGTCATCATCATCATCATCATCATCATCATCATCATCATCATCATCATCATCATCATCATCATCCTCATCATCATCATCATCATCATCATCATCATCATCATCATCATCATCATCATCATCATCATCATCATCATCATCATCATCATGCTAAAAGGGCCAATCAACTTGCAGAGAATCCGCACAACTCCCGAGCTTCTGCGACTCCCGAACGGCCTGGAGATGTTGGACGCGGCGAGTTCCAACAATCCGTGATCCGGGAAAATCTTCGTGATGCACCTTGGTCCGTCACAATCCCAACGTTTGACTCCCTGGCTGCAAATGAAACTTTGGATCAACCACCACTGAATTGTCCTTTCAAAAAGGAGGAATGTGAGCGAGCGAGTGGAGGCAAGGTCCAATCCAATTCAATCCCATCAGACAAACAAAGAGCCGTTTGCTCCCAGAAAACGAGCCCCGACACAAGCACAACCCTTACATACACATCGGTTGTTTGTTCCCGTCACATATTTGGGGCATGTACTGCCCTGCAGTCTAGGGCGAGACACTTGACGCACTCATAGATGATCGCATAGCCGACGTTTACGCCACTGTCCGCCCGTCGCATGCACTCCTGTCTATGTCCGACATCCATAAGCCAAGCCTACCTGCGAGCTCTGGCGGTGTATTTCCAGGGCTCAGTTTAGCAAGCCTTGAGCCTCAAACTGAGAACTGCTCGCATGCCGAACACTTGCTAGCAAGGCCCTTGTGGCTGAGTCATCACCCATCTCCCCTGAAAACCTGTAGAATTCTCTGCAATATCCATCTGCTATGATGTTTGATGGTTGGAACGCCCTCAACCATTGGTGGGTTCAAGACTCACCGTGATTTCTGACATCCACAGGGTCCATGTCTGCTGGCTCCTGCAGGATTTCGTACATGTGCTCTGAGGTAGCCTTGTCGGCAGTGCCCAAAACCCCCAAAATCGAGAGGAGCTTCACCTGGCATCGGGGCAAACGGGAGATTGCAAGCCGGCCTGAGGCTGGGATTTTCTTGTGGCAAGTCATCCAGCCCTGCAAAAAATGGGAAAAGTTGAGAATTACAGAAGATCCCTTGTTCCCTACTCGCATTTGTTTTTAAGGGATGATGAATCTCGGCATGGAATGCCAGGTGTCCAAATCCACCTCCCCGCATCCAGCAATTGTCAGGAGTGGGATGCTAGCAGCCCCCTCTCCCCCCGCCCCCCAGCTCTTTCTGTGCGATACCGGAGTTGGAGTCCAATCCCACTGCTGAAAGTGCCCAATTGTCCACAACTGTGTTAGACCACCGCTTTAAGTAGTACTTCCTGGTCCTTTTGTGCCGAAAAAAAAAGTTGACGGAAGGTACTGAGAGGACACCCCGATTGCTCTTCCAGCAATTCGGCCCAAAACCCGGAAGTTCCACAAGCCCAGCAGTTCAACACGAATTTCTGCTTTAAAACCAAGCCTTTTCCGCTGGGTATTCAACTTGGATTTCTGCAATGCCTGGATTCAGAATGGACCGCTCACCACTCGAAAAGAGAAACTCATTTCGCGAAACTTAAGGCCCCTGAAAGGAGGAAACCCCGCGAGGGGGTCGTTGGTTTTACTTGTTCAACCTGGAAGAAACGTGGTCTATCAAAACAAAGTTCCGCGAATCACACAGCGGCAGCTATCTTCTTCAGCGAATCGTCCGCTCCTCATGCGCGCTGCATCGTACCCAGCGACTCAACGTAACGAGCTTTGGCACACATTAATCTGAACTACCACGACCGCAAAAAGGCCATGAGCCTCTTGTTGAACTGGCCCTGATACACCGGTGTGCAAGTGTGGAGCGGGTGCACTTGAGAGGGTGTGCTTACCATTGCACTTGAGTGGCTGCACTTCCCATTTGGCAGGCGTGTGCGTGAGCGTGTCGTAAGCGTGGGCCTCTGCGTGTGCGTGCAGGACCCCTGCTCCTCTCGCTCGCAGTCTCTGCGCTCTCCTGCTGACTCCGCTGGCCTGTAGCCACGGCGCCGGCATGCGGTGGTAGTCGAAGTCTCGGGGAAGCCGGTGCTCCGTGATCTGCCTTAGTTTGAGTTGCCGCCAAAGACAGGGTCCAGTGAGCAAGTAGTCCAAAATAGGTCTGCATGCCCATATCGGTGTGCCTCCCATTCCTTGCCGTTGGAGCCCCTTTTTTCAGCTTGCCAAAAGGCACGGCTCTCGCTGTGAAGACAAACTATTCCGCAGCCCCAGATTCTAACACTTGCTCTGGCCCCCAAAAACGTGGACTTCACTGGCAAATGACAAGTTGGCCCAAACTAAATAGATTCACCACCAGTTTGGTCCCATCCATGTGCATTCCCCTTGTTCCCAACTCACCCCTTCCCGAGCACCTTCGGGTTCCATTGCCGCATTCGCGACGCGCGCGCATCGAACCGCCCGAGTGGCTTCAGGATGCTCACGAAGGAGGGCACCAAATCTTTGCTGGCCGCCGGATGAGCTTTGGCAATCTGAGAGCGCGGAGGGCCGCTCCGGCGAGCTGTTGCTCAGTGGGTCCCATTGGTTGGAGCCGCGGAAAAGCAACACCCTGAGCCCCTGAGCCACTGGAGGTTTGGAGTCCAAAAGGGCAACTCTCCAGCCAAACTAAGCCACATACCAGTGGCATCCCTGACCAACCTGGAGGTCCTTCTTCTTTGGGTGAGCCGAGCAAAACCCAGGAGCCCAGCAAATACAAGGATAGCCCTTCAGGGCCATGACTAACCATGGACCGAAAAGGGGGAAATCCAAAGGTCAGAAGGTCGGTTTTGGGCCAGGGAGAGCGGCCATTGCCTCTCTTGGCCCAGTTCGGATGGCTGAGAATCTGATTCTGTCCAACAGGCTCTCAGTGCCTGCGATGTGTTTTTTTCAGGGCCTTTTGGTGCCCTTCAGCTGCACGAGGATTTATGTCCAGCCATGGTTGAATGGTCCATAGACACCAAACACCCATAGAGGTTCATTTGCACACAAACCTCCATCAACGCCTATTTAATTTTTGGGAGGGCAGCTCAAGTGAAAGCAAGTGACTGAACGACTCACCCGCCTCGCAGAGCACGTGGAGCGAGGCGCCCATGACGGAGGGGTCGGGGTCGCACAGCACTTTGCGGATCTGATCCTGGCTTCGAACTGGAAGGTCCCCAAACTGAAGGCGCAATGACTTCGTGTTTTTTTTTCCCGCAAGAAAAAAAAAAAAGCAACCCTCCCGTCCACGTGGAACGGTTCGAAGTTCTGACTGACGGGTCACGGACGACTTTCCTTTTCAGAGGGTCTCTCTGGTTCCATGTTGCTGGGCAGGGCGAGCCAATCCCCTTTTAGCGTCCTTTTGAGGAAATTGAGACTTGGCAGGTTCGAAACAGTTGGCTGGGGGGGGATTTCCAGACAGCAGCATTTTGCCAAAAGAGTATTATGGCTTTCCAGCAAATTGGACACCTCAGCCCTCAGGGTCGGGAAGCGGTTTGCTTCAAAGATGCTTTGTTTGGCGTCACAACAAGCGGCCCCAGATCCTCATTTTCCGCAACCTTGGCTCAGGCACAAGTAAGGATCTATTGACTGTGACACACGGAAGTAAGCTACCAGGGATGGTCCCTTTGGCCCGTTCGAGGCCACTCTCAAGGAAATGCAAACGACCAGGCGACCGGCCTTCTGGTCGAGCACCGTCTCCGGCACAATCTTGAAGAACTTGTGCACCGCGATGACAGCCTTCTTCCGGACCGCCTGAGAGATGCAGCTTTTCGCTAGCTTATTTGGCTCCAATGGACCTGGGAGAAAACCTCTTGGCTGGTTGGGGAGGGTGGGATTGTCAGCTTCCAACCGGCTCTTTGGGCAGTTCAGTCAGAAAGGCCAACTTTCTGAAACCCTCAAAACAAAATGTTTGTTGGCAGCAACTTGGCTGGGCAGACTGGGTGAAACCAGCAAGGTTGAGCGTGGCTGTGATCCCACATGAAGAGTCGGGATCGCATCGCAAGTAAACTGCCAAGGGTTGCTCTTTTGAGATTTCACAGAAGTAACCCACAACACACCCAGTCGGGGCCGTGCGCTGCCTTTGTTTCAGGATATCGAAGAACAGGGATGGTTTCAGTGGCCATGTCCAGCCAGCAAAACTGCCTGAGGGTTGAGTTGTTGAGTTGTGACCAGGGCACGCAGGGTTCTCAGCTTGGTTGCTGTTGACCCCCCTGCAAAAAGTTTAACATTATTGGGGGGTTTGTGACTAACGGTTAGTGGAAAACACCTGTACTTCAACCAAAAAGTTAAAGTCTAAAGATCCGTTGCCCAATAGCAGTCAAGTCAGAGAGATCCCCTGTTTTATCGAGGCGCCTCCTGAGGGTGGTTCAAGAGCTTGAAGACCAACGGAGAGATCGCTGGGATCATCTCCACGTTGACCTGGCGGTTCTTGAACCACCTAACCTCTGCGCGTCTGACGCTGAGGATCCGGTCGCAGGGGGAAGGAAACACACTGTTACGGCTTTCTTGGGACTGACAAAGAAACAAAACAAAACTTACTCGCACTATCATCCTATGATGTAAATTGGCTTCGTACCCAAGAACCCCATTGGGTTTCAAAAAAAAAAACTAGGCCCGTGTACCAACCGAGGTACCAATGCCACTGGAAGCTTCCAGGAAATCCCAGTGGCTTTAATGACTCCAAACGCCAGCAAACAGTTTGGCGTTCTTGAGCTGTCAACTAACTTCAGGCGCTTAATCCTCTTCCGTTTTTCTTTTTTTCCACGGTTGCAACAGATTTTGAGCTCCGCTTCTCAGGCCTGGCGAGTTCTGCCTGCTTCAAACTCACCAGTTCGAGCTTTCAAGGAGCCCTGGTTTCCGAGTGCAACACATCCCATCCGGAATGGAGCCGGCGAGGCCAATCTGCAGACGGAGGCCAGCGCGGAGCAAACCTCAAGCAGCTCATAGGCTATGGGTCTCAAACCAGGTTTCAACCCTCCAACGTGGACTGTGCTCAAGGGAAAATTGGAAAACCACTCAATTCTTGGGGCCTTGCAGTACCTCTCCGGGAAAATCCAGCAACTAGGAACCCCAAGAAGGAATGGTAGGGGCTGAGGTCTGGCCGATGGTGGCGAAAATCTCCAAAGCCAGCACGTCTGAAGCCAGAGGGGGATTCATCCGTATATCCCCTGTAGGTTGGTCAATTCAGCTGGGGATGTTTGGGTCGGGGCAAGGCAATCACCGGAGAAAAGCACGTCATGTTGTTGCCTTTGAAGCACAACTCTGGTATCCGCCGCACCTCAATATGGTTCGCGCTCTGCAAGTCCCGCTGCATAGTGTTGATCAACAGCAGCATCAGCTCGTGGTCTCTGTGCAGGAACAGATTACAGGTCAAGTACCCGATCCTGGAAACGACACCGATGCCGGAGAAAAACGATGGGGAGGAATGTAGGAAGGAAGGCCACCTGTTGGAATATCAGGTGTCCCTTTTGTTCCAGCCTAAAAGCATCACCCCAAAAGTGAACCTCGCTTCAAAAATACATGGCAACCAGGACAAGGAAAATACAAGGAACTCTGAATGTCAAAGCCTGACATGGAAAAAGGGAAAGCTGCCCAGTCCATGCATCGAAAGACCCCAAGCTAGCAGGTTGTGGGAAACAGTGAAGAGGAACTTCACCGTCAAAGGTAATCAAGTGAGGGCAAGCACTTGAAGAAACTCGAAACATGTCCCACCGCTCATCTCCGACGGCTCCTCTTGGCGAAGAGGTTCTTCTCATGCGTGAGCTTCACCGCGTGGATGTAGGCGAAGGACGCGTCATGCCCGAGCATCTCTGCATAAACTGCTCGGATCATGTACTCCTGAGAGTGGGCTTCTCGCAAAATAAGGAAATGGCTTTTCGGCTTCATTTTGGCTTCCCTTTAGTGTCTGCAAAGTAAAGGGAACCTGTTGCGGGCTTCTTGGGTGGTATGCGGCGTCTTCTTCTTCTGCTTCTGCTTCTTCTTCTTCCTCTTCTTCTTCTTCTTCCTCTTCTTCTTGCATACCTCCCTTCCGAGAAAGAAACATGCTTCAGCACCCTCCCCCCCATTCCCCCCCACCCCGCCCGGCCGTGTCCGCGCCTTCATCTTCTTGGCCGAGATGTTCGGGCCGCTGAGGTGCTGCTTCAGAATGGCGATCTCCCCCACGATGATCTTATCCTCACCGGAGAACATCCCAACCGCGGTGCCCAAAGGGCTGGTGAACATCCGATCCAATCCAACCACGAAAATAGGTTCGAAAATGAGCGGCGAATTCACCTACCCCAAAATGGGATCCCATGGGTTTTGACCCACTGCCAAATGACGATGCCACCCCTTGAGACAAAATGGCTCGAGTAACCTTTGGATGGAGAATTCACCCATGCCAAGCTTTGGGAGAGCTGTCTTCGCTCTTCGTTTTGGCTCTTCTTTTTCCGCTGGACCGTTCTAAAGGGTCTTGAAGATCCTTTTGAAGAGGGTCTGGACTGGTTTGCGGACGGTAGGTTGTGAACCAATAGAGAACCCTAGGTCTGAGCGAACCAACCAACCAACCAACCAACCAGCCAGCCAGCCAGTCAGCCAGCCAGCCAGCCACCCAGCCATCCGGCCAATCTGTTCTAGCCTAATCTAACCTACGCGTCAGAATGAAACGCAAATCCAAGTGGCATAGCGACACAAACGCGCAACCGTCCAAAACATCGCACCCGCGTAGCAGAACAGCATACAAATCGCACATTCGGAGGCTTCCCCCACGGCAACTTTTGCCACCCGCGAACGCTCGCGGACGCTTGCGGATGCAGCAACGCATCTGGCGAACACATGACCCTCAGACCCCTTTCGTAGAGAGGTTAGAATAAGGGTGCCCTTTTTCTGTAGTCTAGTTTAGTAGGGGAACCCTCCCCCAAAAAAGAAACGGTAAAAGTTGGCACTACTTGGGGACCTGGCCACTGAAATGCGCCCCTTCCCCAGCCGCCTCTTCTTGCTTGGACCGACTCTCCCCGATGCTCTTCACCAGCTCGAAGAACTCCTCGCATCCACCGTGGGCAAAGGGCCCGGGGCAGATACAGGGAGAAACGGGGCGGAAAAACGACAGAGGCCTTCGGCTGCAGAGTCCAAACCCGACCACTCCATTCCTCGCAAACCAACTCGCCAGGCTATGGAATCAAGCCCCATTTGAATCTTTCAAGCTCGGGCCAACTTGTTTCCGGCGAACGCGAGATTGAAGGGGTTCTGAGATCCAGACAAGGGGTTCACTGCTTGCAGTCCCAAGGGTGGGGAACCCCGAACCCGATGCTCTCAGGGGGTCTTGCTTGGTTGTTAAATGGAAAGAAAGGCGGACCCACTGTGTCCCCCAGATTGAAATTCCAACTGGTCTTGTTCCCAAACAGAAGACATTTTTGGTATCTTCATAACGGACATCAGGGGTCGTATTCCCTGATCAAGAAATGAACCATTTCAGTTGCAAAGCCCTTGTTGCTTGAAACTGCACTGTGCCAAGGAAAATACAGGTACGTCCTTTGTGAGGGTACCCTATTGAGTGAAACCAGTAGCGCTTTCCAGGAGCCCTACCTCGCTCTCAAAAGCTAAGCGCAAAAATGAAGGCCTTGGGCCACAAACACGACGGTGACAGAGGATTGGTCAGCTTCATGCTAGTTGCCTTTTGAAAGCAGCCCCATCCGTTACATGCGGACTCAAAACGTGTTCTATTGGGGACTCCCTGGTTCATGGGGGCTGGGGGGGAGGGAGGGGAGGGGGAGGGAGCCCAAATAAGGCCCTAAGTAAGGGCTTATTGGGCTCCCCGTCATTTCGCCCCGCAACCCCCCCCCCCCCCGCCGTTTTGTTGTGAACTGTCCCATGTGCTTGTCCAATGAAAAACTACCCTCGTCCAGCTCCCATGCCTGTCAAGGAACCCTGTCTTGAATGACCCTCCCTGCAGCTTCTCATAAATAAAAGGAAAAGCTCAATCTAGATTGGTGCCTTTCCTTTAAAAAAAAAAGCAACCTGCCTGCCCTTTAAAAAAAGAATGCAACCCCCCTTACCCCCCCCCCCCCCAAAGGACAAAAACACTTCTCGCGCCCAAAGCTCCTTGCTTAGGTGACCGCCGCTCATGGTCGCCTGAAATGCCGGGCCCCTACATGCCTACACCACACCTCTGATGTTTTGGGGGGAGCATGACAACCTCATCTTCCCCAACCGAAAACAAATATGCTCAGATCGTGGTCCAGGTGTACTGAACCTTGAACAGTTACATATCAACAGAGATACCACAAAATGTCAAGCCCTGGCTCAAAGCGGAGCTGTTTGCAGATACCTTTTTTTGATTGCCAGGTATTTGGAGTAGGTGTGAGTCAAAACTAGGGACCCCATTTGGGACGGGTTCAACAGGAAACCAAACTGAAGCCAACCATTTGCAGCGGTCCTTAGTTTTGGCACATGACATGCACACAGGTATGGGTCCTGACACAAGAGTTCGCTATGGATACTGGACGCAGAACTTTCTTGAGATTTCAGCGAAGGAGACCCGAACAGTAGACCTTGTTCATAAACCTCCACCTGTTGCAATCCTTCCAAACCTGGACTTGAGAAACCCCTTTAAAGGGGACACCACATCATGGGCGAGCTCGCTTTACCCCTGCTAGTAGATCAACGGATCCCAAGTCAAGCCTCAGGTAGAAACAAAGGAAGAAACCATCAGCGACAGTGCTGGTTCGGACCCATTTTCAAGGCCATTTCACAGATC